TAAACACACATATTAATACTGTTTGTACAACTTTCCTGTTACAGTCACTCGTCTATAAAGTAAATAAACATATATATTACCATAGGAATCTTATTGTGTGCCAAAATTAATTCAATTAACCAAACACCTCAGCTTCTAGGACTGGAATGTTCTTAATGAGTTAATCATTTCATATCATGTTGAATTGTACGTTAAAGAACCGTTTCAGTAAAGCTCCATCTAAAAGTAGGTTATATTAATATAAAATGGATCCATTAGATTCTGAAAAAAATGTATGATTCCGTTTATAAACCCAAGAATCTCGCGAGGTATACTTTCAGCCTATAGGTGACGAATATCGATTACCTGTTGTACATAAGAACGTCTGGCTTCCAGAGATACTTGGGGGCTATCCGTATATCTCGAATTCCTCCGTATTGAGACACATTCCATCTTAAATTGACATCCACCCATTCCTAAGACAAAACACAAAAAACGATTTCACAATAATCTCATATAAAGTATAATTTGAAAAAATAAAAGATTTGTCGTCTGTAATTGAAATATATTTGTTTCCGCTAGAGGAAGTTTAAAACTCGTACTAGATGTTTTACTAAATGAATAATTCAGTCTCTAGAACCTAGATCATCAATTCGACTTAAAATAGCCATTAAATATGACTTTCTTGTTTTAATATTTGAAAATTTCCATGTTCTTGATTGAAAATAGTTCATCAAAAAAATCTTCAAAAAAGTAGGAGGAGCATGCCAAGATAATAAATTATAAAATAGAATTGTTGCTTGAAAAGAACAACGAATTACAAGTATTTTGTTTGTTTTTCTGTATACGACTTCATTTAGTGATGCAATTATGTTCTAGGTATTTTTTCAAAAAGAAGTCACCCTAGAAATAAAAAAACGTGCCTTTCAAAACTTCTAGACTTGTCAGTTGTCTAGTACATAAACAACAGAATCCCATTCATTGTCTCGTAAATATACAGAGGAATCCTATTCATTATTTAGTGAATAAACAACTGAATCCCATTAATTGTATAGTAAATAAACAGCTGGATCCAATTCATTGTCTTGTAAATAAACAACTGAATCCCATTAATTGTATAGTAAATAAACAGCTGGATCCAATTCATTGTCTTGTAAATAAACAACTGAATCCCATTTATTGTATAGTAAATAAACAGCTGGATCCAATTCATTGTCTTGTAAATAAACAACTGAATCCCATTAATTTTATAGTAAATAAACAGCTGGATCCAATTCATTGTCTTGTAAATAAACAACTGAATCCCATTTATTGTCTAGTAAATAAACAGCGGAATCCCATTTATTGTCTAGTAAGTAGGCATTTAAATCCAACAGTATCATAGACACGCAGCTCATTCTTTATCTTATCTAAAAACAAACAACTGACTTGGATTTCGGTTCCAGTTTGAATATCATAGTATCACAGAACGTGAATACAACTTCTTTATCAGCAATACAGGAATATAAAATGAATAACCAACCTGATCCTAAGAATAGTGTTTACTGTTTCTTACTTCACTTAGGAATAGTGTTTTCTTTTTTTCACTTCACTCAAGAATAGTGTTTATTGTTTCTTACTTCACTTAGGAATAGTGTTTTCCTTTTTTCACTTACTCAAGAATAGTGTTTACTGTTTCTTACTTCACTTAGGAATAGTGTTTTCTTTTTTTTACTTCACTCAAGAATAGTGTTTACTGTTTTTTACTTCACTCAAGAATAGTGTTTGCTGTTTTTTACTTCACTCAATAATAGTGTTTACTGTTTTTTACTTCACTCAAGAATAGTGTTTACTGTTTTTTACTTCCCTCGGGAATAGTATTCGCTTTCTCTTACTTCACTCAGGAATAGTGTTTACTGTTTCTTACTTCACTCAAGAATAATATTCGCTTTCTCTTACTTCACTCAAGAATGGTGTTTACTGTTTTTTACTTCACTCAAGAATAATATTCGCTTTCTCTTACTTCACTCAAGAATAGTGTTTACTGTTTTTTACTTCACTCAAGAATAATATTCGCTTTCTTTTACTTGACTCAAGAATAGTGTTTACTGCTTTTTACTTCACTCAAGAATATTGTTTGCTGTTTTTTAGCTTCACTCAAGAATATTGTTTGCTGTTTTTTACTTCACTCAAGAATATTATTTGCTGTTTTTTTGCTTCACTCAAGAATATTGTTTGCTGATTTTTACTTCATTCAAGAATAGTGTTTACTGTTTTTTACCTCATTCAAGAATAGTGTTTACTGTTTTTATTTCCCTCGGGAATAGTATTCGCTTTCTCTTATTTCACTAAGGAATAGTGTAGGCTGTTTTATTATCTTCTAGCTATGATAAACCTAGTGTGGAAGCTATTTCGGTAACCCTGCTGTAATGTATTGTTGTTAATGTAAATATGATAGTTTATTTTATTTTAAGACACACATGTGAACACCAACGTATCATGTTTTCTTTAGGACTGATAACATCTTAGTACTATGTGCAGGAAAAGGCATTGTTGTATACGGAAACATGTTTGTTGTTCTACGTACTAAATGTCAAACTACAAGAAGGAAACTCAATAGGATAAATACGAACATCAGTTATGAAGTTTTCCTTCAACATACATCGTTTCTAAAGATCCCTCACCATACATCAGTTCTAAAGCTATCCCTTAACAACATCAGTTATGAAGTGTTCCTTCAATATACATCGTTTCTAAAGATCCCTCACCATACATCAGTTCTAAATCTATCCCTTAACAACATCAGTTATGAAGTTTTCCTTCAACATACATCGTTTCTAAAGATCCCTCACCATACATCAGTTCTAAATCTATCCCTCAACAACATCAGTTATGAAGTGTTCCTTCAATATACAAAGCTTCTGTGGGTAAAACTTTCAAATTGAGTGACATTAATTTAGCTGGTTTTTGAATATAGCGATGGATTAGGCTAACTATTTGTTCTTTTAATTTGTTTTCAAATGTCTAGCATGGCCGATAACTTACCAACGTTAACCAAAGGTTCGTCACAATCTGTTCATTTTTTTCATCCTGCAGAGAAGAGATAAGACTCATTACAAAATAATTCTTCAACCTCTACTTTTAATATTTAACCACAAACTTAAAGTTACTATCCAACTCTTTTCATTTCGTTTGATAATTAACACAAATTCAGAGAGATTGGAAATCGATTGCTAGTAGAAAGAGTGAAATTCAGTAAAATTATTAACAATCTGCCTGAAGTAATTTTCAGATATATGAGCGAAAAAAAGAGCAGATTTAGATGGAGAAATAAGTATTAGTAATGTCACAAGATCCACAAAGTATTAAGTACCTTATATTAAGACAACTTAGACTATGTGAATTAGCAAGTCGCGAGACATTAAGAACCGTCATAAAGTAGCGGTGGAACGGCATATATCAGAACTACCTTTTGATATCGTTTGGCGTTTTGTAGCGGTGGAACGGCATATATCAGAACTACCTTTTGATATCGTTTGGCGTTTTGTAGTCGCCTGATGCCATAAAAAGTAATCGCTTTTGGGAATTTTATGTAAAAGCTCCTTCCGACGCAAAATATGCATACACTCAGATCACAAAAATATGGTCAGATCGGTGATTTAAAATTTCCAAGAGGGATGAATGACAAAAACTTAATAAATTTACTGCACAAACCTGTTTATTTGGAAAAAGAATTTTACTTTAAGGGAAATCATTATTTTGTAACAAAAAATTGATTTATTTATGAGAATATAAATTAAACCTGTTTTGGTTTTCATTTCTTGAATTCAATAGTTTTCTTTACATTAACTTCTGTTGATAATAAAGATCTAAACCATTCAAAGTTTGGTAAAATCTCTTAGAAGTGTCGAGTTTCCTTAGAAACCAGCGGGTTGCGTAAAATTATTTTCGACAATAATCCTATAAGAACATCATCTTATTTCCATAAAGTTGTTCTAGGAAATTCAATATTCGAAATAGGTTTTAAGAAGAACACTGGTAGTCCGAGAAACTTGATAACACAATACTTGAGAATAAGCTAACACAAATTTCCAGCATATAACAGTAGCCATCTAAATAGTTGTGATAATAATTGTTCTATATAACACTAGCACATCTAAATAGTTGTAATCATAATTATTCTATATAACACTAGCACATCTAAGTAGTTGTAATAATAATAATTCTTTTACATAACACTAATATATCTAAATAGTTGTGATAATAATCCTTCTGTATAAAAATAGCACATCTAACTAGTGGTGATAATAATTCTTCTATATAGCACTATTATTTCTAAATAGTTGTGATAATAATTCTTCTATATAACACTATTATTTCTAAATACTTGTGATAATAATTATTCTATATAACACTATTATTTCTAAATAGTTGTGATAATAATTATTCTATATAACACTATTATTTCT